GGAAGGTTAAACCGGTGTTTGAATGACCAGAACTGGTGAGGGATTAGCACGGCATACCGGGTTTGTCGTATCACAATAATTATATTGATGCTTAGAATTGACCTAGGTGAATTAGAATGGCATGATTAGGGGTGTATGGACTTTTATGCTATATGATGAACCATGGATTGTTGTATGATATTATTGACTTTCCCTAGCTGATATGGACCTTGTTTATGTTGATGATTGCATACATGTTGCCATTTGTGGCTTAACCGTTGATATGACTTCATGGTTGTTCGATCAGATGTTTTGACATGATGTGATATTGTGGTTATTTTTGGATTCACAAGTGGGGGAAATAAACTTCCCAGGGTGATATTATGATGTTTAAGGAGGATGACTTGCACGAGGGTTTATCCCGAGGAAGTGCAATTATACGACTCCTGATTTACCTATGTTGAGCCAATTATGGCCAGGTCAAGTACATGTGCAAGTAATGAATTATGATTAAGCAAGATGAGATATGAATCATGTATAAGGATACCAAATATGAGTGGTGTGGTCTCACGGTCAACTACATAGTAATTAAGGTTCCCTATGCTATTACTCTATTATGATATGTATGATAGTCACACCTCTCATGTGGTGGTGACTGAAGAATTCTTACGGGATATGAGCACACCCAGAGCGGTGTCGGGGTATGACTAAATCCATAGTGGTGTGGGGTATGTATGACCACATCCGACGGGATGTTGGGGTATGTATGACTACATCCGACGGGATGTGGGGTATGTTTCCCGAGAGAGTTATTAGCATGGGAGTAGCCAGGCGCCTATAAGTAAAACATGATAAGATGCATATGCATAAGTCAAGGTGGTTGAGTCTTTTGCCTATTGGGATGTCGGATGGCTGAGTTCTGATCCTAGTGCTTTGGCTTGTTTACTACATGTATGGTAGGGGTATGCTTTGTTATGAACTCACAATGCAATGATTGTCTCACTCAGCCATGAGCTGACCCTCTTTTATTCTTCTTCTCTGCTTATGCTATGTGTAAGCAGATCATCAGCAGCAGCAATAGATAAGTGTTAGGTGGGAGAGGAGCTAGAGTTGAAGCCAAGATGAGTTATGGTCTTCAACTATTCTATGCTTGGACGACTACTTGGGATTTTGGCCAGTGATCCACACCTTTTTTGTAAAAAATATTTTGAGAACATTTTTCATGTGCATACTAGCTTCTGATGTAGTGTGAGATATCCACGGGTGTGGAAAGTTGATGATGTGTGTATATGTTGTGTAAGTGTTTAAGTTGTGACGAGTATGGTATGCAGTTGTGGAGTATGAAAAGTGTGACTATGGCTAAGAAAAGCCAATGCATATGGTTGTGAGTATATATGTTTGTGATGAATTATTTTGCAGGATAAGTTGCAAGAACTGTTAGCCCATTACGCGAGTAATTCATGTCGAAATTTTATTTGGGTAAATTTTGATAATTAATGTAACACCCGAGATTAATTCCGCTGCAATTGTATGAACTATATGATTAGGAAAAACGTATAGGGTAGGGTGTTACAGTTTGGTATCAGAGCCCGGTTCCCTATTTTTGCTGTTATGGCGTACTATACCCTATGGGAGGTTAAACACTCCTAAGGAGGGGAGTACCCCATAATGACTTAAACTGGGAATTGAGTTTGACATGAATATGTGTATTGGTATGTTGGATGAAATTATCTGCATCATGGTTTTCAAAATTGAGTTTTGAACTTCTATGTTTTCAAGTAATTATTTTGGGAAAATTTAGTTTTAACCAAGTGAGAGAGTGGGTGAAGAATGAATTTTGTGTGGATCAATCTAAGGCCAATATTTTCTTGTAGCTTGCACGGCAGTTGTGACCAAACATGAACGTTTTTAGTATCTCAGTGACCAACCTTGCAATTAACCCACATATTCTTTTCTTTAACAATACTTTTGCATAATAGATAATAGACTTTTGAAAATTCAATAAACACAATATATAGCATACACCAAAAAGAAATAAGGAAAAATTACATAAAGAAATACAAAACAAAATACAAAAATTGAAAATGAAATTAAAAAAAATACTAAATTACTCGTCATCTTCCTCTCCTCCAAAACGATTCCAAATCTCTTCAACTAAATCTGCTTGAAGTTCATGATTTTTGGACCTATCACGAATTCTCAAATTATTTCGGAGATACTCTTCATACTCTGGCAGTCGAGTTTGAGAAACTGTAGGCATGGATACATTGAAATTCACCCCATCATCTGTATAATTAAAATGTCCGTTATATGAATCTCGCTCATCTTCTACAATCATGTTATGCATGATTACACATGCTTTCATTATTTCCCCGATTGTCTTCTTGCACCATACCCATGTCAGGTTACTAACGATGGTGAATCGTGATTGCAGGACCTCAAATGCTCTCTCGACATCTTTTCTGGCGGACTCTTGCTTATTAGCAAATAGTTTATGTTTCGGTCCTTGTGGCAGCGGGATTGACTTAACAAAGGTTGCCTAGTTTGGATAGATTCCATCAGTGAGGTAGTAGCCCAAGTTGACTAATACGTTGATATCATTCAATGTACCTGGAAGACCAAAAAAAGCATGACATATCCATAGATCTTGTGAAGCTACAACTTCCAGCATAATAGTAGGAGTTTTATGATCTCCTCTAGCATATTGACCTTGCCATGCAACATGACAATTTTTCCATTCCCAATGCATACAGTCAATACTGCCTAACATACCTGGAAAACCTCACTACTGACCTACATGAAGCAATTTTTCGATATCTTCAGCATTTGGCCTCCTCAAGTATTCGTCTCCAAAAGTAGCAATGACAGCTTTTACAAATCTTTTGACACATTTTGTTGTAGTGGTCTCCCCGATCCGTAGATACTCATCAACGTTGTCTGCTGCCACACCATATGCTAATATGCGCATTGTTGAAGTACACTTCACTAGGTGAGATAGACTTGCTCTGCCAACAACATCAATACTGTTCTGGAAGTAAGGATCATACTTCATCACACCTTCGACTACGCGAAGAAATAAATGTTTCTGCATTCGAAATCTACGGTGAAACATATCATCAGTGTATGTGGGAGTCTCAGAGAAGTAGTCTTGGTATAGGCGCTGATGTGCATCTTCACGACCCCTCTCAATGTATCTCCTTGGATGTCTTGAAGATGAGGCTTCATCTTCTATTTGTTGCCTTTTGATTTGAACATATTGTTGCATAAGTTTGGAGTATGAATCATCTGTTGCCCACTGGACAATGATTTCCTCAAATGGATTCTCTGAACTAGAAGAAGATGACAATGAAGAAGAAGAATCCATCTCTGAATGAGTTATCTTTTGAGAATGGCGAGAAGAATGAACCTACAATACTGAATATATGGGTACAATTTATTGATGAAAAGTGCACCTTTATTATTTCTTACTTTTATCATTATTTTAAAGTGATAAAAAGGGTGTCTCTATACACTACTTCTAACAAAGTTACTAGCATGCTACATATAATGGAGATAAAGTGATAAAGAAAAAGACAACTATCGTAACACCTCTCAAGGCCAAAGGAATAAGCAAAGTCTAATGAATCGTTGGACTAGATTGAACCATTCAGTGTCAAAGTTCGTCGGTTATTATGCACAAGTTCAACACCGAAGGGAAAGCGGGATAAATGAGGTAGACAAAAAGAACAACGCAAAGGCATTATACCGTGCATTAGAAGGTAATTATTTCAATTTTATGCATTCTTGGGATGTGTTAAAAGATGAGGAGAAATGGTCTAGCCAAATTGAGAAAGATAAAGAAGTTGGTCTCGAGGAAGATAGAGGATCAAAGAGGACTAAGAATACTGCATCTGGCGTATACACCTCCTCATCTTCAAATGCAAGCATGCCAACCACTAGAGACCCAGAAGCTGTTTCTCATTCTCGTCCACCAGGAAGGAAAGCTGCAAAGGATAAAGGGAAAAAAATCTATGTCGTCTGAGTCGGTAGAAAGCCTCGAGCTAGTAGTACAACAACAATTTAACCTTGAAATGGGAAAGGTTGAGGAATTAAAGAAGTACAATATGGCTATGGAGACAAAGATAAAGTTACAGGAGGAACGACAGAGAAAAAGGGAAGAACGAGAGAGGAAGAAAGAAGAACACGCCAGAGATATGTTAGCAATCAAATTGATGGAGATGAATCCATCAACAATGACGGAAGAGCAAAAAATGTTATATCATCTGCAAATGGAGAAGTATTTTGGTAAAAAGTGAAGTCAATCTTGTTTGTAATAATTTTAATTATTTTCTAATCCTATGTATGATTTTCATTAAGTTCTTGAACAATTGTGTGTGGGTTTGTATTTTGCATAAATATGTTTGCTTTCTTGATGAAATATGAATGGTGTGTACATTTATTGTGATTTCTTTCTAGTTTTGTGCATGATCTTCATCATTAACTATACATATTTATAATATAATTAACTATACATTTTTATAATAAGTTTTCATGTTCAATAATTAAAATATAATTTATGATTTTTAATTTTTAATTTATTAACAACTTAAACAAATCATAAGCACAAAAATATTAATTTTAACAATTTGTGTGTACAAAGTGTGTAGAAAAGAAAGAAAGAAAAAAGAAAGAATTTGAATGCATAAATGTGTGGGTGCCAATTGTTTGTGGCATTGCAAGAAGGATTGCTTATTTAGCAATCTTGCTAAAGAAGAAATAATTCTCACATCCTTGCAATTGCTTAAAGCCATTGCCACATGGGATCCCACCCAATGAGCAATGGGATGGAGATGGTCTTACAAAAAAAAAAAAAAAAAAAAAGACATGACAGCTACGTCATAGTCACCTCAACATTTGATATTGAGTAATAGACAAATTAATTTCACACCAAATCTATCAATTTATTCGAAAAGTTGACAAAATCTATCAAATCTATCAATTTATTCAAAAATTATAAATGGTTACAAACCTATTCACTTTGTACAAAATGGTTACAAATCTTTAATTTTGCACGTTTCAGTCAAACAAGTTTGAGTTAATAACAAAAAGGCCAATCAGTCCACTTCTATCCTAAAATTCGTTAATTTTTTCCAATCAAAATGACATGTCATTAAAAATATTAATAAAAAATTATATGACCATCTGAATCAACTTGCACAACCCTAACCGGTTCACTAGCTTTGTAGCTACCTAGCCGTACACTAACACACACTCCCTTCCTCTCTTGTACCCTTCATCCATCCGACCGTCGTGGTTTCTCTCTGTCCTATACCAATTGCCAGGTCGCCGCCGCTCTACTCCATTACACCGTATGTTCCAACTTCCAATCGCTGCTCTACTCCAAAAATCGGGCATTCACCACGGTGATGTCGTCTTGCTCGTCCTTCCAATTCAAATCACTTATGCGTCATCTTCCTCGTCGTCCTATATGTCGGTGGCATCGTCACCATAATGAACCCTCTCGCGACCTTCGTGGAGATCCACAATTGCATTGTCGATTGCGGTGTCCGTTTGGGATTCCGTGCACCAGAGAGAGGTACGGCTCTGTAGGATTCCCCTCTCGGGATTTCGTTCGTCGCCGTCTCCGAATTGTTTTCTGATTCCTCCTTATTTGATGCCTCCCAACGCACTCACAACTCAATCCCAATTGATTGCTGGTGTGGGTCTTCTGTTCGGCTGAATTTTTTCTTTTTCCGCCGGTGTTTGCAGGGTGTTGAGTGTTGACGCAGTTGAATTCTCCGTCTTCGTGCACAGTTCCACCCCTGGGTTCCAACTCAACGAATCCACCTCCAAATCCCGTTACTTATACGGTCGACAACTAAACACTTCTAAAAAAAATCCTGGCAAAGAAGGAGTTCGAGGCCGAAGGCGTCGGGAGGAGAGGCTAGGGTGCTCGATTGGTAGTTGGAACCCGACGATTGGTATGGGAGAGAGAGAAACCACGACGCTCATACGGAAGGGAGTGAGTGTTAGCGTAAAGCTGGGTGGCTACAGAACTAGTGAACCGGTTAGGGTTGTGTGGGTTGATTCGGATGATTGTATAATTTTTTTATTAATATTGTAATGACGTGTCCTGCTGACTGGACAAAACTAATGGATTTTTGGACGAGAATGGACTGATCGATCTTTTTATTATTCACTCAAACTTGTTTTACTAAAATGTACAAAATTAAAGGTTTGTGACCATTTTATCCAAAGTGAATAGGTTTGTGACCATTTATAATAACTACATTGTCAATCCGGTTTAGCCCCTTGGCCCGGTCGAGCACGTGGTTTGAGGGTTAATGGTCCAACTGTTTCCGCTCGGATAAAAAAAGTCATTATGTTGTTTATACATTTATAAATTATATCAAATCTCATATAATAACACATAACATCACACCAAATGTGTTTGGGATCAACTTATAGTGAAAATTCAGACATATTTATATAACATCAATATTCAAATATTCAACTTAGACCTCCAATCCGTCACCTTGCAGTGATCGACCCGATAGGTGTGTGATCCGTTTTTTGTACCGGATCAGGGTCAAAATTGGGTCAACCAACGGGTCCACCTCGTGTTTACAACCTTGTAACTACCCACAATTTAGTCTAAAATTGTCACTTACTCCAATCTTTTTGCCAAAACAGGTATTAACCGAAATTAAAATGACAAGGTTGCAAGTTCTGAAATTTGGAGACGCCGGCTTCAAGTTCTCCTAAACCCTATAACCTCTGCCTGTCCTGCTGGCTGCTGGGGCGCGAACAGTGGATGAAACGTCGAAGGGAAGATGGGAACCGGACGGAGATTCAGCAGCGGCGGGGGAAGCGGAGGGAGAAACCAGAGAATACTCAGACAACATGTTGAATCGTGCAGGAGCAAGTACTCCACCGCCGACGATATCGTCCACCATCTCCGGCAACAAAACCCTAACTACCGTCGCATGGAGCAGCGACTTCTAACTCGACTCGTCCACCAAATCATCGACTCTCCTTCGTCGCCATCCACTGGCCGGCCTAAAAAATTCGGAAAACAGCCTGCGGAAGATGAGGAAGGCGATTATGACGAAGGGAGTGCTTCTGTCAGTGGCAGAAAGAAGAAGAAGAAGATGCAGTTTGACGTGAGCGATGAATCGCAGTCGGAGTCTCAATCGACGCCATCGTCTATGTCGGAGGACGAGGTTTATGAGGAGCCGGTGGAGCCCGAGTTCGATCTGATGAGATCGATGCTGCGAAACAGTTACGCTCCGGAGAAGAACATTGAGGTTGAGGTAGCTACTAGTTCTAAAGACAAGATTGCTGTGGCAAATGGAGGTAAAAGGAAAGGAGAAAGAGGGGGGAAACTTGGGGCTAAAGCTTTAAGCAGTGATAATATGGAGGTGAAGGGAAAGGAAGGGCCGAGGTTTAAGGATTTTGGTGGGTTGAAGAAAGTGTTGGAAGATTTAGAAACTGAGGTTCTGATGCCACTCTTCCATCCCCATTTGATGCGACGCCTTGGTGTGAAGCCGATAAGTGGGATTTTGCTCCATGGTCCACCAGGTTGTGGAAAGACTAAGTTAGCTCATGCCATTGCCAATGAGACTGGAGTCCCATTCTTCAAAATTTCAGCTACCGAAGCAGTCTCTGGTGTGTCAGGTATGGATTTCTGGTTCTTCATCTTTTCATTCCTTATCTGCAGAGAGTAACTAAGGGTAGCTGTCTTTTGAGCCAGTGAGAATACAGATTTGGGGAACTGATGGTGAATTTACGTACTTGCACCTTTTCTCTATATATGTGTCAAATGTTTAGATGAGATGATGTGTACTTGTGCCGGGGTAGTAAAAACAAAATACTTTTGGTGGTGAAGCTATTTGAAATATGATTTTTCAGGTGCATCGGAGGAATATATCCGAGATCTTTTCTCTAAAGCATATAGGTCTGCACCATCGATCATTTTCATTGATGAGATTGATGCAATTGGTTCGAAAAGGGAAAATCTACAGAGAGAGATGGAGCGGAGAATCGTGACTCAATTGATGACTTGCATGGACGAATACCATAAACTCGTGCAACCAGCTGATGAGACTTCGAAGGCAGAAAGCTCTGAGCAGAGAGCTGGATATGTTCTGGTAATTGGAGCTACCAATAGGCCTGATGCCATTGATTCTGCACTAAGAAGGCCTGGAAGGTTTGATCGGGAGATTATGTTAGGGGTCCCAGATGAGGATGCTAGGGCTCACATTCTTTCTGTGCTTACCAAAAAGTGCACTCTTGAGGGCTCATTGGATCTTTTGCAAATTGCTAAGCTTACTCCTGGCTTTGTGGGAGCTGATTTAGATGCTCTTGTTGGCAAAGCAGGCAACCTTGCCTTGAGAAGAATCGCTGCACTGAGGAAATCGATGTTATTATCTGAAGAACCTAGGGATGGGAAAATTGAGGAATGGTGGAGAACACCTTGGTCAGAGGAGGATATGGAAAAGTTTGCCATCACAATGAGTGATTTTGAGGTATGAATATCATTGAGCTGGATTGAGTTTATTCTTTGCTTCTATAACTTTTAGTGTATGGGACATTTTATCCTCTTAGCTATGTTTAGTTTTGGCATTGATTTAGACAAGTTTGTGGGCAAAGAGCCAAGTAAATGCACCAAATAACTCAGATTCAAGCTATCAGAGTTCACTGAAGGGGGTTCACTATCCCTTTGCTATTAGTACTTTGTGTTGTCTATCTTACTGGCTTCTTTTGTTCTAAAGCTTGCATCAAAGATGGTTCAGCCGTCATTGACAAGAGAGGGGTTCTCTTCTGTTCCAAATTTAACATGGGATGAAGTTGGAGGACTTGATAACGTCAGGAATGAGTTGAAGAATTATGTAGTCCAATGCATTAAAAATCCAAAGCTTTATGAGGTATATCACTATTATTCACTATCTTTGATTTGTTGTTCACTGCTATGCTATACTAGTTAATGTAAGGTTTTGAACTTCAATGTGGATGTCTCGCAACAACTTGATTACTTGACTTCAAATAATCGTTGTCTTAAATGGCTCACTGACTCGGCAATCTTGATATTAATGCACCTTCAGCATTTTGGAGTGACGTCAAAGACAGGAATTTTGCTTTTCGGTCCTCCAGGTTGTGGCAAGACATTAATGGCCAAAGCTGCTGCTAATGAAGCAGAGGCTAACTTTATTCACGTCAAGGTTAGTAAATACTTCAATATTTTCCACTCCTGTTAAATTGGCGTGATCATCAAGTTCTTGATAGATGCTTCTGGACTTATCCTTATTTCATCTTGATGTTATATTGTTAGCACGAGTATTTGAAACATATGGCTTCTTATTATGTGTACCACCATGGTATAGGGTCCTGAGCTTCTTAATAAATATGTTGGAGAAAGTGAGCTGGAAGTTCGAAAGCTATTTACCCGTGCAAGGCATTGCTCACCATGTATTATCTTCTTTGATGAGGTGAATAATTTGAGATTTGCAGCATGGATGATTTGATTGCTCAGTAAACAGCTAATAGACCATTGACTAATCCAAATTTATGGTTCATTTGTGTTTCCTGTAGGTGGATGCCTTGACAACAACCCGTGGAAGGGAAGGTGGGTGGGTTGTGGAGCGGCCTCTAAACCAGGTATTCATTGAATCAATAGTTTCTACAGAATGTAGTTAATTGTGGAAGTATTCGGGACTTCCAGCTTGAGAGGGTTTCAAATTGATTTCCCCCCTCCCAACTGCAGTTGCTTATAGAGTTAGATGGTGCAGACCAGCGGCAAGGTGTTTTTGTGATTGGTGCAACTAATAGGTCAACCTCATTTTTCCCTGTATTTGACACTCTCAGTCTCCTTCTATTACCACCGGAAGTCTAAAGTAGTTGTCTACGTGCATTGCAGGCCTGAGGTTATAGACCCTGCTATCTTGAGGCCCGGCAGATTGGGTAACCATGTCTTGGTTCCTCTGCCAAGTGCAGAGGATCGCGGGCTGATTTTGAAGGCTCTTGCTAGGGGGAAACCTATTGATCCAAACGTAGACTTCACAGAAATTGGGAAGAGGAAAGCTTGTGAACATTTAAGCGGAGCAGATCTCAATAAGCTGGTTTGAAGTCCACACGCACTTCCTTAAGGTTTTATGAGATTGATGATGGGTTATCTTAGATTGATATTCTGTGCTTTTTCTGCTTGTGGCAGATGGAGGATGCTGCAATGATTGCTCTTCAGGAGGTGAGGAGAAGCGGGGATCCAGATGAGGAGAAGATGCTCCTCCGCACAATCCAACCCTGTCATTTCGATCGGGCACTGGAAAAGATCTCTCCATCTGTGACGGGCAGGGTAAGATCTGAACGATCCACTTTGCTGGCATATTCCAACAAGATTGGTGTGAAACGAACGAGCATTGCTAATCGATTTCATGTCTTGAATCTGAAACTCCCTACCCTGCGTTCTTTTTGCAGCAAGTGCAGTTTTACGAGGCATGGTCGAAACAATCCAGCGGAACATCATAGCATTGCGAGGTGCTCTACTTATTTTGGCCATTTGGTATAGTCGATTATTATCCCTTTGTTAAGCTATGTGAGCTCCAGGATAACGTCCCGTTGGCCTTTTTATAGAGCGACTGTGTTGAGCAGCTGCATTGCAATTTTGGTTGATTTATTGGGCCATGTTTCTACCATCTGGTTGGGCCTGTGTATCTCGAACAGGACATATATCAGTAGGCTGGGTCCATGAATGTCTGTGGATGTGTGTGGAAGGAGCGGAAGGAGCTTTATAATGAAAGGAGGAGAATACGAGTGAATGTTTCAGCTGAGAATTCAGTAGGCTTTCGTGGTGACCTGTGTGTTATTGATAAACTGGGATTCGGATGCTTGTAATAGCGTCGTACACGAACCAATACGGAAAACTAGCATTACTGTCATTCATTATGCGGCACAACAACCTGAAGCTACATCGCATATCTGATCTGCGCGCGTCGTGGAATTACTGTCACGATCAACGTGAAAAACTCAGAACTTCCTATTTGGAGACTAGCAACATTTGGAGGATCGCTACAAAGTACATATTGGCCAGGAGCATGAAGTAAAAGGGACAGATGAGAAAGAAAAGGAAGAGAAAGAGAGCACTCTTTGTTGCTCCTGAAGTAAAAGGGACAGATGAGAAAGAAAAGGAAGAGAAAGAGAGCACTCTTTGTTAGTCTGTGTGTAGGCCAAGAGAAAAAGGAAGAACGAAAAAGAGGGAAAGGGCATGGAATGGAAGTGGTGAATCTACTTCTACTCTGCTGAACTGTGAGATTGTGGACGTATGAGGAAAAGTGATGGGGAAGGGGCCCCGCCATTATTTGGGAATTGTTGGAAGCTCGAAGCTCCCTCCGCCGTCCAATGCCCATTTATGCGGCGAACCACCAACCCCATCCTCTTATGCTTTTTCCCGTGTGCTAAACGCAAGGTTGTCAACCGCGGGTTGACACGGATCCGGTCGAGCTAGTGGGTTAATGATTAACGGGTCACCCATTTTAGTCCGTTTCAGTCCGAAAATATGAAAAGAGTTATTATATTGTACTTATCCAGATAAATTATATCAAATTTCATCTAACATATGAGTAATAACATATAACATTACACCAAAGTAACATATCGTACTTAGATCCAACATATATCGAAAATTCACACACACTTATATAACATCAATATTTAGGTGTTCGACTAAGGATTGCAAAGATTGAGTTAGGCGAAAAGAAAAATCGGAAAATAGGCGCATTTCACAAACCAAAGAAAAAAATGACACAATTTGACCTCCAACTCGATACCTTGTAGCGGTCGGGTGCGTGCGGCCCGTTTTTCTCATCGGATAATCCTCCGATCCATTACAGCCAATAACAGACAGAAGAGAGAGAGCATAGACAGATCGATCCCTCCTTGCCGAGGAGCTCTTGTTAGTCCTTGTTTCAGGAATTGAATCAATAGTTGATCAAAGTTTTTTAGAAATCCATTTAAAAATTATCAAATCCTATAAAATTCGTAGCGTCAAGCGTCGATACTGACTTCAATGATTTACCCGCGGGTTGACAATCTTGGCTAAACGTGAACATGCGAATCCCATTCCCAAAAACCTTGGTTTGTGACAATTTTGAAAAATTGCGAGCATTTAAACATAAGATGAGTATTTGCGATGCCATAGTACACAATTCAATGCTACAAAGCTACAAAATTTTCGTTGTCTAGTCATTTTTTATATGAATCCTACTATCCTGATACGCTTAGAGGCTTAGAGGGTGGTAGGATTAGTGTCAAGGGTGGTAGCTGGTAGGACATGAATTTTGTATGTTTTGCAGTTTTGCGCTTTTTTACCCTACCATTTTTTTTTACCTGTATATCACTCGCTGTGTTCTTACAACATACTCCATTTGTTCTTGCAGCACATAGTGACAAAAGAATACAAAATTCATCACACCATAAGGAATTGTTTGGATGATGCACCGTAACATTTCAGAAATGAGTTACGTTGACAAGATTTCTCTTTTGATAAGTGAAGGGAATTTTTTTTTTTTTTTGATAACTTTGCCATCAAATAATTCAATATGTCTATTTCTTATAATGTTTTGGAATAGTACGTAAAGTCTAATGAGACATTTTTCAGCACCACATTTGCACTTCATCTCATACAAACCTCCCGTAATGACGATGCTACAGTTGTTTTGACTATGTTTAACTTGAAGCATGTCTACAAAGATAACTAGATATGCACTAGCAAGTTGGAGGCTTATCATTGTACTGTAGAATGTGGATTGATATGTATATTGCATGATGTACGCATGAACTGAATAGAGAGTGTATTCAAAGGTCGTCCTCCCCCCTCTCTCTCTCTCATTATGCTTTGTCTATCTTCTCTTTCCCCTGTTCAATGACTCCTATTATATAGGTCAAGAATCAAGATGATTGTGATGTTCTTTCATTTTGGTTCATCATTTCCCCTTATTAGTTTCTATACCGCTGTTTAACTCCATTATGAATTAGGGGGAAAAAAATCTTCATAGATTTAATGGGGTTGTCTCCAAAATCTCAAACTGTTACACTAGTGACCAAAATAGCCCCATCATAACTCCAGTAGTATGAGTGGTAAAATCGTTGGAGCAACCTCGATTTGAATTCTCAAGTTCCTCTATTGTATATTTTTTCCTTGAAGAGACTTTTAAGTTTTATGCACATTAAAAAAAAGGAGAATTAAATAGCCTTGATGGTCAAAACACAGTTACAATTACATGTAATATATCTGTATGAATGTTATTAACTTATTATCAAAGATAAAGTAAATTGCTCTTATGAAAACTCCTCTAACTACCACGGCTTTTCCATTGTTTGTGTTAGCTTTGACTATAGGTTAATGATGAAACCCAAGCCAGGAATAAAAACTAATTGAATGGAATTGTGTGCCCCTATGTTTGTATAGAGGGAATTATTTTACCCCATGTGATCACTTTCAAGCATAGCACTACAGCACATAGTGGCTATCACGCTTCAATAAAATTGGTGAAAGAAAGAAAGTAAAGGGGTGAAATGTGCCCCAAAAAGAGATAATAATGGGAGATAAAAGGAAACATATATGATGATGTTAGCAAGTTCTTCATTTTTTGGTGAGTGGTAGAATTGGTGATAAGTATAAATGCTAGCTAGCAGCTATCCAAAGCACTGGTTATATAATTGGTTTGGCTTCTCAAACACTTCCCTCCCTAGAAGTGGACAAAGACATCCCTCCTACTAGGGTTAGGAATCCGGTCCCGGTTTTTGGTCAAACCGGAAACCGGCCAGTTTAAACCGTCCCGGTTGTAACCGGAAATCGGATTCCAAGTAACCCAATCCAGTTTGCGGTTGCAGTGGTCACAACCCGGTCCGATCCAGTTAAAACCAGAAAAACCGGATAGCCCAACTTGAGCCCACCCCATCTCTCCAGCAAGCCCACCTCTCTCAACAACTTAATTAGGCCGGAGCCCAGCTACAGGCCCACCAACCCTCCCAAACCCCTAAAGCCCGACTCCACAACCCTACATCGTCTCCCTCGAGCTCACACTCAAAGGCGTAGCCGCCTTTCTTCGATCTCTTCCCTTCTCTCCAATCTCTTCCAACGGCAAAGCCAAAAACCACCCTCCCATCTCCCAAATCCCACTCTATCTCACTCACCCTCTCTGCTTGCCTCTCATCCGATTCCATGGCGGCGGCGGCGACATCAAGACAATCGATTTGGAGCAACCGCAGCTCTGCCTCTCTCTTCTCAGTCTCACCAGCCGATTTGAAGCGGCCATCGCTCTGTTTCTCGCCCGGATCGAGACATGCATGACCTGACCTGCCTTCCTCTGGATTTCTCCCATATCGAAACATGCAAGACCCGCGCACGACGACGACGACGATGATGAGGCAGGGAGCTCTCCGGGTCCCCTAGACAAAGAAGGCAAAGAGCTCTCCAGGGAGGAGAAAAGGCAGAGGAAAGATCGAGAAAGAATGGGAGTATGAGAAATTTTTGATTTCCAGAATAGAGAGAGATTGAGAAAGGTAGGGACTAGGGAGTTGTCGAGAAGTGGAGGAAGGAGATATCTTAGATCCCTCTTTTCATTTTTATTTTTATTGATTTTTATTTTTCTTCCTCAATTTTTATTCAAACGACAACGTCCTGGGAGAGGTTAATGCCAGCCCAGTTTTCGGTGTAAAACCGGATCGGACCCAATCCGGTTACGGTTGAAACCGGATACAATCCAATCCCATCTCCGGTTGTGATATTTGCCAAGACGGTTATAAAAAACCGGGTCAATCCGATCCGGTTTCAACCGGACCGGATTGTTTCCCACCTCTACCTCCTACACAACTCTAGCTAGATGGACAATTACCCTCACAATGACAAGTACTACCACCACCACCACTATTCAACTAGCACACGTAGATCTCCATTATTTTGGAAGATTCCCTTCTTGACAAGGAGAAATATTTGAGGACAAAAGATACCCCTCTCCCTTTTCCCTTTTGTTTTCTACCTCTCTGAATTATTAATTGTCTTTCTCAATGGCAGGGATTGAAGGAAATATGGGTATGGGAGAAGAGAGAGAGAGAGAGGGAGAGATGACAGAAATGGCATGAACTATTCTCTATCACATGAAAGATGCTTGTTGGGTATGGAGAGAGAGAGGTAGAGAAACATGAGTTTGGTATTTTGGCTGTTTAATTTTATGCTTGTTAATTTTACTAAGGTCTAGGGTCTCCTCCAATATTTGAATATATTTGCAATAGTCATTGTTCTCATTACTAAAAGATAATAGTTACAACCATTGATGACACATAAGAGGTGTGTTCCTTCTAAAAAAAAATGGATGACATACAAAAAAAGGAAAGTGGGATGATAGAAGTGACGTTCATCATTTGAGACGTAAGACACGTAGGTGATTGAGGAAAAATAAACGTATTGGTGAAAGACACGATCCTAAACAAATCATATGGTCTGTACGTAAAAAAAAAATGTATCTGGAGGATCAATGGCATCCAAGAAACCCTATAACTATATGTTATGTTTCATATTGAAAAGAATGCATTTAAATTTTACTCAAGACTCAGTGATCCTACTAAGAACTAACAGCAAAAATTTCATCAAATTTCTCGAGAACTCGTTCATTAAATATGCACCAACAAGCAGATCTCTCATGTCCAAACCTTCACGCTCACTTAAAATGCAAAGTTTATCCAAAGAATCGTGTAAGAAGTACAAATTTCCTATGCATCTATCAAATCCTATCACTTCATGACACACCACCTTAGAATTGTAATTGGAGAAAAATAGCCACCAATTGAACAAGAAAAAGAAAAATGAAGAATTAAAGTCATGGTTTGCGGAGGAGATTGATCGAGGAACTATTGCATTTACATGTGAAAGAATCTGTTTGCTACCCTTCTTTCATGTATGCAAAGAAAAGTTTCTACCTTTTTTCGTAGAAGTGGGTAATGCACTACTACATGCCAACCAAAGATATTTCCATGGATGAGAGTGAGTGAGTGCTTCGACTCTCTGTTTTGCAAACATGGAGATGGATGTTTCCACAACCAATTAACGTAACGTTAATGGCCAATGAGAGTGTGATGTTGTGAGAACTTTGTCGTCGCCACCATTACCTTTACGTTTCCCAATCTATGTTCGACAAAAGGATAAAAGTTTGTTGCCCCCATTTTCTAAGGTTGTTTCTTGCATGACTGATTCCTCCCCACTTAAAAAGATCACTCTTTGAACTTTGAACTCGAGTCAAGTAGTGTGGTACGGTGCGCCAAATCTGAAGCTTTTTTTGTGGTTAGCTTGAATTTTGATTGTTCCAACGATGATTCCAAGCTCACAGTTTAGGAAGTAAACGGTTGATGGGTTATCAGGGAGCCTCTTTGGTCTAGTATAAGCCAGAACGGGTAGAACTTACATGGACGTTGAAATGTTTGGTTCATGCTAGGAAGATGAAATTGCACAAAGAAACATGTTACAAGACGACTCATCTGATGTCAGCATAACTGGCTGGTGCTTGAAGAAGCACATTACGACATCGTGATGTTATTGTTCTCCCCACACGAAATCATCCTCGTTTGTTAATTTTAAGAATAGGTATTTAGTTGTAAATAGCCTCTTGGAAGTTAGGGTTGTGTTAGCAACCTATTTAAATCGTTGTAAGATGTAGGGGTGGCTATTTGGACCGGGACCAGATTAAAAACCGGAAACCGGACCGTATAACCCGGATCGAGACCGGACCGGGACCGGATAGTAAACAATCCAATCCAATCTTTGGGCTTAAATTTGAGGTAAAAAACCGGATAAATACCGGATAAGAGGGCTCAACACCCAAAACTTAAGGGTAATTTGCATAAACGGTCACAAACCTTTGCACTTAGTACAAAACTTAACCAACTCCTCACCCTTTAAGTCCTTAGGCCACTCAAATCCCACAATTTCAATGTAAAATCAAGACCGAATTGGGACCGGACCGGATCAAAACCGGACCGGATCAAGACCGGACTGTATCCAATCCAATCTTCGGTCCTTATATTTTCAAAAAGACCGGACTGGACCGGATCAATTTGGGCCAATTTAACCGGACCGGACCGTATAGCCACCCCTAGTAAGATGTACTGTAGGATAAACGAAATAAGAAAACCTAAAATCTGAGAGGGAGATCCTTTTCGTGAAATAGTGTCATACTGATGATACCACGTTAAAAAAGTTCTTGTGCTCTTTATTTTGTGGTTGATTATTTAACATCCTTATCTCTCGCATACTCAATTACCATTAGCAACTTGTGCATATTTGATTGGCTCACAGTGTAGTTAGCTTCTTAGTTAGTTAGTTTATCTTAAATATTAATAGCTTGTAGGGTTTCAGGTGCATCCTTTAGGTAGCTCACCTTGTACATCTTTTCTACTCAATCAAACAATTTGTTTCACACAATTCTTTTCACGCATGCAGAAGAAGTTCAAGCGTATCACTTGATTGAAGTTGTCTAGGGTTATATGGATGATAATTTTTTGTATCGAATTTTTATTCAATTCTCTCATGATGACGGATTTCGCTAAATTCTTCATTTGGGAAGGAGACTAAAATGAGAGATCTTGATCATGAGTGTAAAAAAACTAGCAATTATAGATTTTTAAAATAGCCTCACAACTATTTTGGAATCCTTAATTCTGAAATTCTTATTCCAAAATTAGCCTCATTAACTTTGTTTAAACCCAAAGCCAACCTTCTCTTTTTTTCTTCTTCATTCACACTTATCCCACTGACTTGAAGTCGAGACTTTCCATTAAAAAAAAAAAAAAAATCCCATTTCCCTTCTCTTATACTAAAAAACTTCATTTTTGTTCATTCGCCAATATCCCTAAACCAATTCATCTTATTAATTTATCATATTCGAATTACAAAAAGGTGCGAGAAAACAATATTGCTGAACATATTTTTTTTCCGGCTAAGGGTGAAAATTGAATTAAGCACGCCATCGATTAAGACACCTTGGATTTGGAAATACCATTTTCTTGGATTCTTGAGAGAATCCAGTGCAAGAATCCAGTGATTTAAAAACTGAGCACACTGTACTGTACACACATGAAACTCTAGATGCCTTGCGTTGGCCACATGAACGTCGATCCTCCAAATTGGTCTGGCTTAAAAATTGTTAATTAATTAAATGAGTAATATATATATATATATATATGTATATATATATGGTGGCTTCTATGGTACTCCGGGAGAAATTCAGGGTACCGTATACCTTGAGTATGAAAACACTATCTAAACCTCGAAATAGAAAAAACTCTGGGCTTGGTACTATACCCTAATCCTTATTGAGTGAACCCTAGGTCCTAATTATCTAAATATAAACTATAAACCCTAAGACGGAGCATTCATTTTTTTGCCTATATTTGGACGAATCATAGCCGTCGATTATTGTTTTTAATTAAATTGATAATGGAGTATAAGATTTAGGGAGCTAAGACCTAGATTTTGATCTTTAAGGGTTAGAGTATAATATCATGTCCAAAAGATCAATCAATTTAAGGTCTGGATAGCGTTTCATACTCAAGGTATGCGGTACACCGGATTTCACTCGGGGTACCGTAGAACTCGCCATATATATATATATTCCACATTTTCCACTTATGATATTTTTTTAGCTGCCCCACCTAGATTCCTCCCTGGTCTTTCTTCATGTTTTTTGTTTTTGTTTTGTTGCAATTAGTCTTAATCACTTTACCATTAAATATTAATTAATCTTGAAGATTTGTTGGGGAGGAATCAATCACATTTGGAGATGCCGTATATGTTAATTTTGAACAATTCTAGCTCTTTTTATAATGGCCCATATGAACTGGCCTTTCTATTCCATGCCATCATCATCTTGAATAAAATAGTGGCCGCCATTTTAATAGATAGAGAATCCTATTCTCTTTGACTGATTTTGATCACATTAATAACAGCCCTATCCATGCATGTTTAATCAGAAAACCCTCTCTCTCACATAATGGGGAAAGGATATTTTCTCAAGTGCCTAAAATGCCCTTCTCATTTATAGATCGATGCTCAACGTCATACGTATATGTGTTGTCCATCCTGTTTGTTATAATCAAGTGATCCAACTCTTTCATGTTTCGTGGTGGCTTTTGTTAGCAAGATAATTTGTTGCATTGATTTCTCTCCAAAGAATATAATGACTCAAAACTTTCCATTGCTTATTTAGGAAGGGGGTGGATTGATTCGAGCAGTGACACGTGCCCCTTCATTTGGTGAGTGTGATGAGGGTCACCAGCTAAAATCAAATTGAGAATCCAACTGAATACTAGCTCTTGTAACATGCGAGTCTCGTATGATGTGT